TTTCTTATCAACTATAACTTCATCAGGTACATTTTTAAACAGTTTGTAACCTACTCTGTAAAATAGAAAGTTTGTTCATCAAAAGAATACCAGGCTACATTACAAAGTCATCAAGCTGTTATGCTTTCTTGTCAAGTAAATACATTTTTTTAGAGAAATCCTCGTCGAATAAAGTCGATTAATGGATAAAAATCAACATGTTGTCTCCTGTACATTGAAATGATTTGTATTTGAGAACAATGATATAATGTAGCATAAAATAATGTAACTCTGATTTGATGTTGATTTATTGAGATATGTCGCTAATGTGAAAATATACTAGCTATCGGTGAAATCAACCACTTATTCCAAAAAAAGTTTATTCTTACTGAAATCCAGTTACCTTTAACCATACATCATTGGTAAAGTTACAAGTTATACGGGAACGGGTAAGATAGTTCTACGTAAAGTCTTGTATGAAAAGGTCAGCATAAATAACAAATGTTTTGTCTTAGTTATTGCGATAATAAGAATAATAATGACAATAACTATAACCATGATTATCAGTAAGAACATCATGCTAAATAATAAAAATAAATGTTTAATTAGAAATAAAAAATGCTACGAGAGAGAGAACAAACCAGAACAAAAGGAATATACACTGTCAAAATTTGTTTAAGAAAATGACAATCTTACTGTAAGCAAATTTAAACAAAAGTGTCAAACATGTCCGCTTTTTTGCAAATAGATCAGATTTTTTTTATGTTCATTTCAATTGCTTTGACCACATAAATTAACTGTGTTATCTTGAGCACTCAAAACTTAATATATAACCTTACGAGATAAAATGAATTCATGTTAGTCTCCTCAATTCTTTGTTCTTACTCTATTCAAGATATTGAAGGGGATAAAATGTATGAATTTTGTCAAAAACGCACTCACTATTATTAATAATAGTAAGGTTAATCAACCATACACTGAATGGATGCAACTTCTAAGTAGGCACTGGTTTACAATACTGTGGCCCATTAATATTTCATGAATTAAAAGAATTTGAACTCATATCTTCAGATACAACTTAACCTACTTCCTCAATAAAGTTTTTTGTCTCTTGCTTCTTCTATCGATCTAATTTATAAGAGTATCAGTAATCAGAGAAATAGGAAAATCTATCCTTTTTCTACCTTACAAGGAATATGTATAAAATGAAATACAAATAAACATTCATAGTATTAAATATTCCTATATTTAGTGGATAACTTATATAATGTATATCAAAATCTACAAAAAAAGAGAAGTATTTATATAAGCTTTTTTGTTGTTGAGTCAATACTTCTATAAAACTATGGAGTTTAGAACTAACTATTTGAATATCTTTTTTAACAGGCGTAAGTAAGTATCATCCACAGGGAAGTCGCCGAAGATTGGAAATAATTAGTAACTATTTTATCTTAGCTTCGGATTCAATGGATATTCATATACTCCAGACCTTCTCAATAAATATCATAACAATCAGCTGATAAATCAAAGCATCTGTCACTACGTCAATACCGACTTAGTCACTGATAATATTAGTGACTTACTAAGAGGATTTTCGGGATATCTGTCTTAAAGCTGGAGATTAACATCTATTGGGACGAAATGATTTTAAGAATTTGTAAAAATTGGCTTAATTTAAAAACTAATCTTAACATGAGCTAACAACAGCTGGAGAACAGCAGTAACCCAAAAACATTTTTACAGTCATTTTCTCAGCATTGTATCATGAATCAAATGAAGGTGTACGAAATTGATCAATATAACCTACTGATCAATTTAGAAGCGATTTACCTACTACAAGGCTAACAAATCCTTATTTCAGTATTTTTTTAACTTAACATCTCAAAATATTTGTGCTGTTTAATTTCTAAACGTTCTGTTCATGATGTCAGATTACAGAGAGTACATATTTTGAACTACACAAGTTTTTTTAGTTTGGACTGCAAGTTCTATATAAACGACAAAAAACATTGATAATGATTAATGTAACCGACTACATTTTGTGCATAGGTTTGGGAAAAACCAAAAACATCGTTGTATGTTCATAAATGGTCAATAATTTTGAATTTTAATGTTTGATCTTAACTATCATTTTGTCTATCCTATTCTTTAAGTTGTTCCTACTCAAGTATTTTACTTTGAAAACTGAAAATTGTTTCAATATATAGGGGTGCTATAAATCCTTTTTTAATTTATTGAAGGCTTCATCAACTGATCGACAGTATATTCACGTTTTCGTTAATATATAGGCGAATAGTTTCATAAACATTGACTACCGAGTATCTAGGATACATTTCAAATAAAACTATAAATCTCAAACTTTATATTTTAAAATGAAGGATTATTAATGTTTCATTCCAAAAACTAATCCCAGGAAATAAACAAAGGCAAATTATCAAAGACAAATCTGCATAAAATAAACTCACCAATCATGTTCACATATTGAATAGAGTCATCAATTATAATATGTAATCAAATCATGGTTTTCAGAGCGTACAAATACATTAACATTATTATGAGTATTATTTAAGGACCAGTAATTGAATATATCCTAGGTGTATTTCAATGATTCTAGTAGTCATTATCATAGATAACAGTAATTAAGTTTGCCAGAGGGGTTTACACGAGTACTTTTGCTTAATTTTGAATGAATAGTTTTCATTAAAGTTTAATCAACCTAAATGTTTCACTTAGAAATCTCTCATAATTATCTGCTTTTAAAATTATGCTTTCAAAAAAACCCCAACTTTAGGTAATGTAGTGAGAAGTAAAACTTCAACTACCTTACTACACTAGAGAAAATGTTTCTAACTTAATCCGATAAAAAAAAGAAGTATTGAATGAAAGCAAGAAAAGTATCGTTGCCAGATCAGATGTAGGAGACATTTCTGTTGTTAAAAACAAAAACAAAAAAAATAGAATCTAAGGTTAACCTCCATGAAAAGCTTAAAGAAAATGAGTGAAAAACATTTTTTGTTGAAATTTTATACAGATTACTTTTCTGGAAATTCAAAAAGAATGAAAATTAAATTTTTCTTTTCAACGTATTTTCTCGTTCACAATAATTATCTAACTAATCTCAGTCATTTTATTCATATAAATTATGATAATATATATTACTAGGAATCTTTCGTCATTAAAATAGTTGGAAATAAACAATCAAAGCGAAATAAACTAGTTAATTATAATAATTAAAGAGATATGAAATAATAATGATTTCAACATGAATAGATCATATAATTAAGTGAACGAATGAGACGAGATAATTAAAAGGTAATAGAATATACGTAAAATAAGTATGAAAGATAAACTACGTATTTATACATATTTAAAAATATAAAATATAAAGCAAATAAGAAGGGGTTTTGTGGAGATTGTAGTAATTTCAACAGTTGAGATCATGAGTCACTTGAAGCTATTAATCAACATATGCTCACTAGTGACTGGCTTCAAGAGGTATTTCCTGGAGTTCTAGTGAGAAACAGTAACCAGTGGAATTCAACCGGATCAGTCGTGAGATAATAACTCACTGATGACAATTGTGGATGTGTCACTCAATTTCGTGGATCAGTTGAAGTTAGACATTAACACCGTTAAATGCCGGCCCAGTGGTCTTGTTGATTAAGTGCCTGGCACGAGACTGATATGTCCAGGGTTCGGATCTCGCCGGAGGGCGGGATCGTGGATGCGCACTACTGAGGAGTCCCACAACAGGACGAAATGGCCGTCCAGTGCTTCCAGGTTTTCCATGGTGGTTTAGCTTCAAGTGTCTCACGATCTCAACTGTTGAAATAACCTTATAAGCATATTTATGCAAATTTTAATCAATAAATTACCTTTACTTTTTCTTCAGTAATACTCAAATTCAAACTTGTACTAAACTGTAGAAACATGTAAATTTCAATCTACTTATATTTACTATCATTGAAAAGGAATAGTTCATTCTTTTAAATAATAATTAATTACTTTTTATCAAGGTGAACATTCGTAATGATGTTGTTTACATGAGACGTTTTTCAAAAGAAAAACAAAACTGTCATAATTAAAGCAATAGGTCATTGATAATAAACAAAACTTTCTCATAAATGGGAAATGTAATCGATCAATGATAATCTTATATGTGATCGTTTGTTAATGCAATCTATTATGTAATAAATGCATTTTATGATGAATTGATAGCAGTGGATATATACAACCTCTAAGTGACTGGATCAAAATTTACTTGAATACAAAAACTAGCTACCTTCTGTATTATATATTCAATGACTAAACCCTTTTAATGAAACTAGGATTATTCTACTTCAAGGCGGTTAAGGTAAGAAATAACAATGATGATATGTTTAATGTCAGTAATATTAATAATGCGTTATGAAAATATTAACGAATGGATTAATACTAAAGTGGTGAGCGTTTTAAAAACTGTGTATGAAGTGTTACGCGGTACCACAGAATTAGTTATGTGAATAGGCAAATTTAAACACAATGGCAGAAAAGATGCAGGATTTGAATATCAGATATTATGACAAGTCATGGAAATACAATTAGAATTCATTTGAACTAGAATTTTGGTCCTTTGATGTTAACACAGGCAAATAGCTTAGTGATATGTGATTTAATGAACCATGAAGATGTACTTAATGGGAAGAAGAGATAAAAGTAGAAATCGAAGTTATTTACTAGTTCCTTCTTCTTAACGAGGGTGGAAAACACCATTTAGAAATTTTATACGATACAGATGACTTGTATCATCAAAGGTTCTTTTTAGTGTATGAAACGAGTTAGGCACTACGCAATTTTTCAAGACTTATTTTTATTGTAGTTAAGAAAACTGGTTTTACAGTAAAGTTTTCAAAAAATGAATGATCAGTCATAAAAATTGTCATTTTTTAAATATTTGTAAATCAAATTGACGGTTATATGCATAAACCTACAGTGATGTTTAGATCAAATATTCAATTCACTATTTCCAAGAAATATTATTTATGTCCTCCTCCTCCTCCTCCTCATCATCATCATCATCATCATCATCATCATCATCATCATCATCATCATCATCATCATCATCATCATCATCATCATCATCATCATCATCATCATCATCATCATCATCATCATCATCATCATCATCATCATCATCATCATCATCATCATCATCATCATCATCATCATCATCATCATCATCATCATCATCATCATCGTCATCATTATTATTATTATTATTATAATATCTTGAATAAATATTGCACTGAAGAAAATCAATTTTATAGTGAATAAGATAGCAAACAAGAAATCATAATGAGTTAAAAATATAAATATGCATTTTCAGCCTATCCTATCAATTTAGGTCATAAACCGACAGTTTAGTAACTACTGAAAATAAAGTAGTACAGCATATGTATTTCATCATGGTTTATAACCTCTCAGTGATATACCATTAAGATGATATTGTACTAACTAATAATATCAAATGTTTTGGAAATCAGTACAGTATAAGATTTTGAATATGTATTTCTAAAAGATCATAAAATAAGGTTAATCAGGTTTTTATTACATTTTATTATCAATAGTTCTGAAGATTTCATTAGGTAACAATATTTTAATATTTGAAATCATGAGTCGATTGAAGCTAGACCACCATGGAAAACCTGGATGCACTGGACGACCATTTCGTCCTAGTATGGGTCTCCTCAGCGAAGTCAAATATTTCAATAGTTGAGATCATGAGAAAATTGAAGCTAGACCACTATGAAAAGCCTGAAAGTACTATAATATCCATAAGAATCCCTTCTGATATTAACAATATTCCTAATAATCAAGAAATTTAAAGTTTTTCTTTTCTTAAATATTGAGAAATTAAATGTCATTCATTTTTTGAAATTAGTTTATGCACTTTTATTTTTCTTTAATGAATCAATGTTAACTTTCACAAATAATATAGTCGCTTCAAGGATGACATATTATGATTTTTATCCTTTCTTATATTATTCATATAAACATTTATGACAAGTATATGCATATGATTATTTCACTAGGAAACTAACATGATTATATTGTAGAAAATGCATGAATTAATCCATATAGAAATGATATCTTCTTCATAGTTTCTTATATAGAAGAAGATATTTTATGTAATTAAATGAAGGAAAGAAAGAACAAACATAATTGTTAATAACATACGTTGTTAGCATTGAAAAAAAGAAAGAGAATTAATTTACCTGAGTTTATTGAAGCCTAAATTTCGTTTCATTTAATTTAATTTAATCATAAGATATACCAGAAAATAATAAGACAATTTTAAATTGAACCAATATAGGTCAATATTGAGAAGTTTACAATTATAACGTATATAGTTAACAAGTAAAAGATGAATGAAAGTGAAGTTATTTTTTCTTCAGTTTAAATTCTGGCTTGTATACGAAGTTGTTTTTTTCTCTTAGAGATGAACATTTTTCTTTTGAGAAACTGATGTGTACAAATGTCTAGCGGAAATAGTCAAACGATTATATTCCTTTATATAATTATTCTAGAACATCACAAGGAGTGTTCACAAAAGCACAAAATAACTTGGATGTTAATTTGATCTTTCTATTTTGTCCTATTTTGTCACTTCTTTGAAAAATAATTCTTTATTACTGTTGAAATTAAAATGAATATAAAAATGTTAGTATGCTGATGTACATTTACTAGAATGAAAAAATGCTCAAACTTTATTCTGTATTGGTTGTTTGAAACTTCCCAATGATGTTTAAGAATGTGATTGATCAGTCTTATGTTGGCATATGTGCATCTTGTTTAGATTGCCTCGATATTACCTTGAATCACTAGTATTATACGGAGAGATGGATGGTGGCTAGCAGTAGAATCCAGGACACACGTTTCGTCCTATCTGAGTCTCGTCAACTGGATGTACCTGCATTTCAGGATTGATGTTTACTCTATTACTCGAACCTAGTGCTGTTTACTTTGAACGCCATTGAGTTGTCTACTTAGATAATGAGTCACAATCCACCTTTGTTTATAATCGTTTTGACTGAAGGCAATATCGAGTCGATCCAAACAAGATGCACATATGCCAATAACAGACTGATCAATTACAGTCCCAAACCAGTGGAATGATTCAAACAACCAATGTAAAAATGAATCGAAATTTCGCTCCACTGTACAAGCTAGTGATTGTCTGGACTCAGTGGGTAAGCGGATAATACGATGGCGTTTAAAGTAAACGGTACTGGGTTTGAGATCTAGAGTGAACATTAATCCTGAGATGCAGGTAAATCCAGTTGACGAGTCCTACGTAAGACGAAACGTGCGTTCTGGATTCTACCGCTAGCCACCATCCATCTATGCTTACAATTTTGAAAATATTTTCCAAACGCCTACAATAACGAAAGATTACAGATAACTATGATTTCTAAAAACACAACATCAAATTAGGCGATACTTATGAAGATTTTATATAACCTGAAGATAGTATTCATCAGTGAATGAAGTCAACAGATGATCCGTTGGTAAACAGTACAAACTGAACTACTGTTCTTCCCATATATATATATATATATATATATATATATATATATATATATCCCGACATCACTTTGTCATTAAAGTTTTACAGCTACATTTAATAACTGACATTTTATTGAGTAAATATCTTATTTGGTTTCAGTTCCCAAACTAACTTAAATTTAGAAAGTTGTAGGAAAATTTGTGAAAACTTGAAGTATAAATGAAATTCTTTGTAGATCTTTATTTCAAGTTGATCTACTTATGTAAGTTGATCAAATTTCAACTTAAGTTCAGTTTAATTGGGATTCAGTCCTGCCTATTAAGTTGACCACTGTTTGTTTTAAATCTTATATTTATTTATCATCCTTGAACATGTTGTCTAGCTAGGTATTTATACGATATATATCTAGAAAACACACTTATAAAATTCAATTCTTTTAATGTCCAATAATCATTTTGAAATTTTATCACTCAACCAATCATCTACTAGTTAGGATATTTAACTTATATCTGATTGGTGTAAAATTTATCATGGAAATGGAATTATTATTTAAATAGCTCAGGTAAATGTACAAATATTTTGTAAATTAAAAGTACTTGAAATATGCTGCTTTTACATTTAAATGTAGTTTGGTTTTCACTAATACAAAAGAACGTAATTTATAAGATTTCGTTGTATATAACTTAACAGAAAGCATATTATTGATGAAGGAATGTATTATTCACAATTATATGGCAGAATATTTATTTAATCAATTGAATCTTTTTGACTTCATAACACTTACACTGGAATTTGAGAACAAAGAAATTTTAATTATTCGTCTTATAATATTAATTTTAACTGTTAAGATGCTTTATACAACATCATTAATGAAAGTGATTCCACAGACTCCTAAAAATATAGAATCAGATAAATTCATATTTTCTTCAACTCCAGAAATTTCACATGGAACAATCGAAGTCGTGATTTTTTCGGTTTGATAAGAAGGCGTCCAACTCATGAAAAAAGTATTTATTCACGTCATCCACTGTATCATCATGCTCCACATTGTCGTCATCAACAACAACATCAACGTTATCATAGTCATCTACGTAAACAATGTCCATATCGATGTATAACTCATAAACCTAGTACATCAAAATCTCAAATGGCAATTCACAAATCAATAAGTAAGCAACTTTCTTTACCAGTTGAATATACAGATGAGCAAAAATCATTTTATTCTTCTACTGGATTATTACAGACTCATTCTATCTTGGATGATGATATTGAGTCTGGATTAAATATACATGACGATGATTTGCATTCCTGTGTAAGTATACATAAATCCAATATAACAATTGAGAGACCGAATTCCTATCACTCAGGTAGTTCTTCTACTTCTTTAACCTCATGTTTAAGATGCCTAAATTCAGGCCAAACTGTATCATCTCATACAAAAGCTGTTGATGAAATAAACTATGATTCAGAACCACAATGTTCACGTAATTCTGTTACATCAAATATATCAAAGTTAAAATATTTTGATGATACAGATACAAGTAATTTATTTGATAATGTACAGAAAGATACATTTAAAGATCGTCTACTTTATTTTCCTACAATAAGTAATCAATTATTGTTGACAATCCTACTAAACGTCCATTTTATTCTAACCATAATAATTCTGATGAGATTGAAAAATATGATAGTACTAGTGCAATTGATGCTAAATTTTCACTACCAAAAAAAGAATTGAAATTTGCCGTACCAGAATTTTTAATGCCCATTATAGATCGTCGTACATCATCACAAATATTTAATGTTAAACAAATATCGGCATCAACATTAAATATTGAAAATAAATTGTTGAAAAGACGAAAAACTATTAAAGAACGTTTCAAACAATTACACAGTGATTATGATGGTAGTAAATTTTGGAATAAATTAAATAAAAATTTTAAAATGAATAAAGTTATAAACTTGTCCAATACTAGATCAAGATCAAGTATGGCTATTTCCATGGATTATACACATCATAAAGATTCTGTTTCACGATCTAGTATTACATCATGTGATGATTGTAGACGTATTACCATTAATGTAAGTGGTTTAAATTTGAAACATGGCTAACTGTACTTGAACGTCATCCAACCACTTTATTAGGTGATTACAATAAACGTAAACCATTCTATGATGAATATCATAAGGAATATTTTTTCGATAGGCATAGGCCTAGTTTTGAAGCAATATTTAATTATTATCAATATGGTGGTCGATTAAAACGACCAGCTACAGTATCTGATGATGTCTTTCTTACTGAATTAGAATTTTTTCAAATTGAATCTGAAGCATTAGATGTATATAAAAAAATGAAGGTTATGTACCGGATATTATTGTTTTACCAGAAAATTTAATAAAACGTAAATTATGGATGTTATTTGAATATCCAGAAACATCTATCTTAGCATTTACATTTTCAATGGCATCATTTATTTTTACTGTTATTTCTATTATATTATTTTGTATTGAAACTTTGCCAGTATATGCTCAAACACATTGTGAACCTGGAACAAGACCAAATTTTCGTGATCCATTTTTTATTATTGAAACATTATGTACATTTTGGTTTACTATAGAAATTTTTATACGTTTTATTAGTTGTCCAAGTCAAAAAATATTTATTAAAGATATTAAAAATTTAATTGATTTAGCTGCAATTGTACCATATTATATAACATTATTCAATGTTTTAATAACATTTAGTTGTGAAGGAGCAAAAAATAGTGCTAGTTTAGCATTTCTACGTGTAATACGTTTAATTCGAGTATTTAAATTAACAAAACATTCATCTGGTTTACAAGTACTTGTATTAACTTTTAAAGAAAGTATTGAAGGATTAAGTTTATTTCTTGTTGCATTTATTGTTTGTATATTAGTATTTTCTAGTACAATTTATTATGTAGAAATTGATAGAAAAGGTTCACAAATTGAAAGTATACCAGATGCATTTTGGTGGGCTGTCATTACAATGTGTACTGTTGGTTATGGTGATAAAGTACCAAAAGGACCATTAGGAAAAGTTGTTGGTAGTGTATGCGCTGTAGCTGGTGTATTAACATTAGCTATACCAGTACCAATTATTACAGAAAATTTCAATAAATTTTATGCTCATAAAACCGGTCGTGGTAGAAGATGAATTAATTCAGCATAATCTTTTTTCTTTATATTTTATGTATATTATTTGTATATTTCATTCAATTAATACAAATCATTTATAGATAACCTTACCATTCATAATTTTATCAAATTAGTTGTATCATCTTCATTCATTTAACCTTATTGTTACTAACAGTCTGTCTTTGACGATTAATTTCTTTTTTGTTTTGTTTTTAAATATTAAATCAACTAGTTAAAATTCCATAAATACACATTCAAAGTATCATCTCATGTTTACAAAACGTCAACACTATTCCTCAGTTTGTTACTGTTATTTCTACAAATGAATAAGATAGTCATAATAACTAAGATATAATTCAATTTGAATTTACTTTTCTTTTCTATCACTTCAATAAGTAGTATTTTTTGTTGTTGAATAATTCATGTATAGAATTTCAAACTGCGAATAACCTTCTAGCTTTCTTAACCCAAAAAACAAACATTTGTACACATTTATTACATAATATCATGAATCAATGTAAACATTATGTAATATAGTATTCATTAGAAAGCAGATTGAATAGTTTAGATTCATTGTAAATGATTACAGAACTTATTATATATACATACAACAAATTATATTTTTATAATGATGAAACTGTTGTAGATGAAATTGTATTGTACCATAAATTATACTCAAATTTTTCGTATGAAACAATGTTTTTTTATTTGAAAATAAATGATTACATAACTTCTTCAGACGTTTAATAAAACGATGAATAGACTGAAAAAAATATTTTTTACAATTAGTGTCAGAAGGAGTTTTGTGAATATTATAGTAGTTTTATTGGTTGGGATCATAAGTAAATTGAAGCTAAACCACCATGGAAGACCTGGAAGTACTAGACAGCCGTTTTGTCCTGTTGTGGGACTCCTCAGTAGTGCGCATCCACGATCCCGCCCCCCGGCGAGATCCGAACCCTGGACATATCAGTCTCGCGCCAGGCGCTTAATCAACTAGACCACTGAGCCGGCATTTAACGGTGTTAATGTCTAACTCCAACTGATCCACGAAATTGAGTGACACATCCACAATTGTCATCAGTGAGTTACTATCTCATGACTGATCCGGTTGAATTCCACTGGTTACTGTTTCTCACTAGAACTCCAGGAAATACCTCTTGAAGTCAGTCACTAGTGAGCATATGTTAATTAGTATCAGAAGGGGTTTTGTGGATATCATAGTAATTTTAATAGTTAAGATCAGTTAGTTTCACATCATGGCTTTCATTTAGTGGTGGTGTTATGTGTTAATTATACAGTATCATAGTGATTAAAAAATAATGTTAAGTCATTGAAAGGAAGAGGGTTGTGATGATCAATGCAGTTATTTGGAAAAATTTAACTAAATAGTTGCTACGTTACATAATATTTTGATGAAAGGTCAGTATTATTGTAACTATGCCGGAATTACGAAACGCATATTAAAAATATGTAAATATGTAAAAGTAGAAGAAATTAGAAAATTGTCTGAATATTTTTAGAAGGATTGTGTTAATATAAATTCAGCGAAAATTCATTCCTGTATCGATGGCCAAGTTTGATAGAATATATTATATATCACTACAGAAATGAGTATATTGTCCAACTACAGATTTTTTATGTATCTCTTCTCTTGATGTCCCATCTACTCTTCTTGTTAAGAGGATATTTAGAAACGATATGCTGTTACTCTGTTCTTCTTTAAGCGTAAATATAATAGATAGATCAATGTCCTTAAATTTATTAAGAGAATTGTCCCTTTCATTCTTGTCTTCTAATAATATGAAAGGATCATCTATATAACAGCCATGTTAGTCCGCACTACAAGTTTCTTAAATTTGCTCTTATCATTCAAAAGGACCTTCGTTCTATTTAAATAGTTTTATTTATCCATGTGAACTACACCATAACCTTAGTCTGATTTTGAGAATAACAAATTGTCGCTAATTTTAAGTCTCATTGATGCTTCATTGTTTTTTGTCCAAAATCTGTTCCATCTGTACATTTTTTTGAGTACCTAAAGCAACAGTCCACTAGTATTGATTTTAATCTTATAAAATCATCTGATGAAATTACTAGTTCTACCGTTTGCGCACGTTTTTCGAATGGAATTTTAACATTCATTTCATGAACCGGTTTCTTCAAGTCACAAAGCTTGCAACCTAGTGACAAAGCTTCGAACTTAGTCTCATTGAGATTAACACCGAAAACATTGTGCATGTACTGACCTGGATTAGAAGGAAATTTCATTTCTGGAATCCTTTTGTCTAGGATTTTATTAGTTTTAGTACGTTTCTTTTTTTTGTGAATCAACCACCATCCTTCAGAAGTCCAAACATTGTTGTTTCAAGTTATTAAGAAGCTCTTTAACGACATATACTATCTGACATGTTGTAGCATTAAACTAGTATATGAATTTAGCCAATCGATTTGATTTAGTGCCTAAAGATATAAGTCTTTCCATTTGTTCGAACGATGAGAAGATTTCTAGAATATATTTGGATACAAATTGGTTTCCATCTAATCCTTTATAAAATCTATGATGAAAAACTGAATGAAAGGAAATTTATTCTCTATGTTCGTCTGTTTTTAAAAAAAAAATCGATTATCAGTAATAACATCAGTAGTCTAGTCAAATTAATTTTAGTTATCATAGTTAAATTAATCAAATAATACTTTTCAAATGAACAACAATTAGAATACGAAACAAATAATTAGGAAATTGTATTTTCTATTAGTGAACTAAAATGCATACAAACTACTTAGTGACAAAATAAAATGTGATAAATTCTATTTGAAACAATCTATAACTCTGTGAAATAAAAGTTTTTTGTAGATTAGTCATCAACTATGTGACTATTAACTTTCAATCTTTTACATTATTTCATATGTTATCAAGTAAAGTCTTGTTTGAATGGTAGAATTAGTTTTTATCCTTAATTTAAAACCATCATTTTCCTAAGTTAATTTGGTAGCAAGAATAATTCAAGGATATTGTTCTTTATCAATACTTTAAAATCTTGTGTAACCAAGATCCTACGAAAAAAAAGTATTTCTTTCCAAAAACCTAAAATACCACAGAGTGTAATGACTACTTATCAACTTAGTAATAACATAAAAGTGCAATTGTTTATTTACTTGAAAAAGGAATACACTGAAAATTAATAATGATTTATATGAATTTTGAGTTTGACTGGAAGCGGCCTCATTTATCATTTTTTTTGTTTTGAGAATAATAAATAGTACACTAAGATTTATGCTAAAAGATTCTTTATTAATGATAAAGTGTTAGTAAATCTTTATACAGAGAAGCTGTCTACATTTGACGGTGGATAAAAAATATCTGAACATATTTAGTGTAATACATGGGAATAAATGCATCATTATTGTAGAGATGAGACTTATAAAATATTATACATCATCACTAGCAAATATTTAAAGAAACATTTATCTATAATTATTTGGCGTCGTTACTGATTTTGCTAATAATCGTATATTGACAGGTAAAATGATTTAGTGGAATTCGTCTAAAACAAATTTTTTATCATTGTTAACTTTGTTGATGATATTAAAGTAACTGTATACTTGAGATATCATGTAGATAGAAATGTAATAAAGTAACGTAAGTACTTTTTCTCCATATTTATAGCTTATATCATGAACCAACTTCAGCTAGAATATCGTTAGAAAAGTGGAAATAACTGGACTGTTAATTCGTTCTTATATTGGTCATAGGCGTAATCATGACCGAAATCCTGACTGAAAAGCCTGTTTCGCGCTAGGAGTAAAACAGATACCTACCAAAAAAGCGAATAACGTTGTAGTTGTATCATGAAGATCTTGGCTTTTTCTCAATGAAGAAAGAGCTGCTTCGTGTTTTCTTAATTCTAACAGTTATCTGGTTAACATTAATCCATCATAAAATGTACAGACCTAAGAGTTCCAATAAACCGCCTGTGTTAATCATTATTATCTGTTAACTAATTGAAGAACGTCATAACTTTGGTTGATCAGAAGCTGTGGCTATTTAGCTTAAAACAAAGGTTCTTGCATATAATAGGCATTGACAAAATTAATCTAAAAAACAATAAAACTTGTGTGTGTTTAAACAATTTGTCATATCGGACTTATTTATTTTTCCTATGAATACGTCATTCTCGTAAAATTGACTCGAAATTCATTAATATCAATGTTAAATAAAATGGAGTCTTATGATTATCACAAAAGACATATAGTATCTTGACTTTTGTGATTTAAGCGTAAAATATGAAACAGACACACTAGGATGTTATATGTTATGATGTTATACTTACTGATTTACGTGAATACAAATGAGCGAAAATCTACTGGAAAATAAACCAGTAAAGCCTTACTATCTTGTGACATATCAACATAATTTAAATTTTGGTTGAGATCAAAAATCGATCCATTTTAGACCATCATTGAAAAGCTGGGAATGCTGGACGGTCGTTTCGTCTCAGTATGAAACTCCTCAGCAGTGCACATACACCATTCTGAACGTGGTACTCTTACCCTGGACCTTCGGTTTCGTGCGTTAACTTCTGACTTTCAGACCACTGAGCCGTCATTCAACGGTCTTAATGTTTAACTTCAATCAATCCACGATACTATGCGACCATCGTTAACTGTCTCCGGTGGGTCTTACATTCTATATGGATTCGCCCCACTAGTCACTGATTCCCACCAGAACTTCGAGAATTACCTCTCGAATCTATTCATTAGTAAGCACGTGATGACTATTAGTTTGGGTTTGAAATTGAACTTTAAGACCAATGGATGTCGGCCCAGTGTTTTGGAAGTCAGAAGTTAACGCACGAAACCGATGATCCGGGGTTAGAGTCCTATGTTCGGAATCGTGTATGTGTACCGCTGAAAAGTTCCATACTGAGATGAAATGGCCGTCCAGTATTTCTAGGTTTTCAAATGATGATCGGACATTGATCGATTCTTGATCTCAATCAAAACACAACAATCTCC